TTGCGCACTAGACTTGAAAATTGCACTATATACTCTGGTTCACAGCGTTTGGGCTGTGAATGAGTCTTCTGCAATCGGTATCGCCCGACTGCAACGTTCTTAYTTGTTTATTATTTAACATACACCCACTTGGGGCTGGATAAATCGCAAATCAATATATCGATATCAGCATGTGAACTGGAGATTTTTAATTTGGAATATAACTACAAGAAAAAATCTCCAGATAACAGATTACATTTTTAAACACAATGCGTATTGAAGGCATGACAAGGTTTGGTCGGTTAAAGCTGTTTCTAAACAAGCGTACACCTAGTAAACAATATACATACATACATACATATTTATGTATGTATGTACCTGCTACGTACCGTTTTAGAAATGCATTATATTTAGATTATCCATTTTCAATGGCCTCAGCGTACAAAAAACATGTAATACTCATTCAGGGACCGAACACTGCCAATATTCCGAATATTATAGATTTTGTGCAAAACACCACATAGAAAATCTTAACATTCTAAAGAAGGAGATGTTCAAGAGTATATGTACATATGTATATTCTAAATTCCATTTCAAAAGTGTCTAGTATCAGACAATAGATGTACAAGCAAACGGACAGATAACCAAATGGATGTTGCACAAAACCCATATACCCTTTCATTTTGTGAGTGAAAAAAGAAAAAGCGAATACCTTAGTCGGGAAAATAATAAAGTGAGCTTACTCATTAGAATAGTTAGATTGAACGAGATATTCAAGCCGCGCCTTTGAGCCGAGAAACGCGTAATTCCAGAAGAAGCTCTGAGTAACATTGCCAATGCCCTCCTCCAGGGTGCTAACAAACTCCATTTTCTTGTACAGCTTGGACGTGGCTTCATGTGTGGAGTTCTGGAACCAAGTCTCCCAGCCACCGTTGTCTAAAAGATGTGCTCTTATAGTTTCAGTTATGGCTAAAGATAAAGCATGATGATGATATTCCTACCCAGCGTGCAAACGCGAAAGAAGAGACCAAGCAGGTCCATTACAGAGTCGACGGTATCCGGAAAGGCGGGCAGTGTGACGAACGCAATAATAGAGCCTGTGTAGCAAGATGTTATGATAATGGTGAACAGCCAGTAGGAGCCGATTAGAAGGCGAGTGGATGTCTTCTCCGTATTGCCCCAGGCGTATTTGCCCGTAAATGTGAACGCGTTGGTGAACATACCGAAGACGTACCAGAACATGTTCTCGATTTCACCCCAATTGCCCATTAGATGGCTCAGAGTCAGTCGGTCCGTGAAGACAATGGGGAATATGCCACCCAGATACACGGAGACCAGTGCCGCCCAGACTGGCCACTGAAAGGGCCCCATTATGGCCCGGTATTTGGGCAGGGCCTTCGATGCTAGCGTTATGAATGCCGCACAGTCACGCGAGTGACCCACAGACATGTCCGTCTCCAGCATTCGTGACTCCGTCAAGTAAATGCCGGACATGCCTATGTCGACGCTGCCCTGCGAAATCTGCATCTGAATGCTGTCCACGGCGCTGCGAGAGTTGGCAACATTGGGCGTCTCAGTAATGTCCAAGCTGAAGTTCAAACGCTGGGCAATCATGTTCATCAGGCGCATCTCGACGCCGTCCCAGCGCAACTGGCCCATCCCCGACGAGTCCAGCGACCGGATGCGAAAGATAAACGGCGGCTGATCGGCAGCCGATACCTGGAAACGATGTCCGGCAAAGCCATTCTGGAACTTATTCGGAAACAAATTGATGTGGGGACGCGAGAATGCGCCCCGGATCCAGCTGGTCAAAACTATTCCATAATTGGAGCCTAAACCATCTGCATATAGCTTGTGCGTATATAGGACATAGGGTCGCTCCTGGAAAAACAAAAGAGAAAACAAGTAAGATGGCTCCAGTCGAGCAGCCCAGTATAAGCACGCGCTCTGCTAACTTTGCAGCAAGGAGCGACTGCGCTTGGGCTGCGCTGCAATGTGGGCAATATTATGAGAAGTTACTTGTTGAATAATTTCCTTTGTAGATGGACTATCTTTATGAAACTTTTGGAGCATAGTCATATAGTTAAAATTTGTGTACATTCCAAAGCTCAAGTCTCTTGAAATCAGTTTTTTACAAATTTAGGGCGAAGGGGGCGTGGTGTCCAAAATATGTAAGCTACAAAATCTTTGTATCCATCAACTGTATATACACACTACATCTGAAATCTCTATGTCTAAAAGTGTTCAAATTAGGCTGAAAAAACAAAGTCGATTTTTCGATTATTCTCGATAAAAAGTTATAGGATGAATTATCGAAAAAAATAAGATAGACTTGTACTGCGTATTATATACACGAGTATGCATGCCAAATTTCAGCTCTATAGCTCTTATATCTTCTGAGATCGGTTTGCTCATACGGACGGACGGACAGACAGACGGACAGKGCCAAATCGACTCAGCTCGTCGCCCTGATCAAGAATATATATACTTTGCGGGGTCTGCCACGCCTCCTTCTCCCTGTTACATACTTTTCAACAAAACC